AATACTGTACTAACACACACTACATAGTCAAGGCCTATGCTGCTGAATGTTATAAACTACTCACAAACTTAAGACAAAGACAGTCTTGGACTTATACGCCTCCATTATCACGTTAGCTTTTATAAAAAGTTGGCTGGTCCTAAAAGTATGCAGCAAACAGCTGAACCAAGCAGATTAAAATTAATGCATAATAGTGCAGACTATGAAAATGTGTGACTAAACATGCAAATGGTGAGCCTTCAAGATGCCACATCAAGGCTAAATGACTAATGACTTTATGACTAATTTCATACCATATGATCCATAAGAATTATCTTCAGATTTCTGCTGCTTATGGGAATTTACATATTTCCCTCCTCAATGGGAATATTATTCATCAAATAAGTCCTTATCTCAACCTAGAAATCTATTAAGAGACTATGTCTTCAATTTTCTCCTTTTACATATATGTGGGGGAGTGGGTGGGCATTATCTTAGGAAATTATCAATAACCCTAACACGAAATGTTGACACTTATGCTAGTTTAGAAGTTCCTTGACTTACCTGTTTAAACTATTAATCAAAAGTAAACTTTTTCTGTCTTTTTGAAAAAGGTAGGGTGGGGTAGGGAAGAATTATTTTACTCTGAAACATGTAAATGATTAATTACAACTTTACGTTAATATTAGGCAATAAATAGGAAACACCATTCTCTAGGGAAAAAAAATAAGGCTGGGAGAAAACTACAGAGAACATGAGCTTAGAAATCAAGGCTATGAATTTGGAAGCTAATTCCAGTTATATTCATTAGCTATAGGACTTTGGACAAATTACCTATCTTTTGATTCTGTTTATTCATCATAAAAATCAGCATAATTTCTACCTTGAAAAGATTTTTCTGAGGATGAGTGGGTACTTAATGTTCAAGAGAAGTTATTTCATGTTTTCACGACCTCTACCCACAAATAAGAGAAACTGGTCACTAAAAGATCCCAACTTATTCTGCTTTTAAGGTATAACCACACTGGGAATCTTGAGGGTATTACAGTTGAAGGCCTTCAATCTTTCTGAGGTCATGAAGCATTCTGAATGTTGGGAAAAGGAAGGATAGCAGACATATATAACTTGCTGCATACAATTTCAGTAAGTTCATGGACTCCTTGAAGACTCTATGAAACTAAAAGAAAATTTTAAATCCCAAAAAATTAATGCCATGTATCTGACTTACTTCCACCTTAAAAATATACATATGTAAATTTAAAAAGATTAAATAATCCTTCCCAGTTAAAAGTGGAAAGGAAGCAAAAGCTCCACTGACTTGTATTCAATCACAGGTGCTCCTGGGAGCTTCTACTTTGTCACCTTTGTCACCATAGGAACTTTCAGGAAGTTGTCTTTCCTCTTTACCATGGCTTGCTCAAAATCAAACCATGAATGGCTTTAAGAAAAAAAAAAAAGTCTAACCCTAGTTTCCAAATTAGTGATTTAATAAGGCAAGCTCATTTATTATTTAAATCTGAAGATGACTTCATGAGTCATTCAAACTTCTCCTTACACTTCAATTACTTTCAAAAGATAAACTATTGAAAATGCTGCCTATATGAAATAGTTTAAAACAAAAAAAAAAATTAGAATCTAATAAATAATTCATTCTAGCTCTTGTCAATATGCATATATTCAAATGTATTAGGCAAACAGGTAGGAAATGAGACTTATTTAATGTTTATATTAATATATGGTAACTGTTCAATAAAAATTTACTGAACATATAACCTGTATTCCTATAACAGGAATGAGAATGAAGACAACTAAATATTAATTACAAGTAGCATACTGCTTGACACATAACAGATTTTAAAAAATAATCTGCCAGATGAGCAAACCAATGAATGACTAAATGACTGACCAAATAACAAAAGAAAAACAATGACTAAAACTTTTAGACAATCCGTATTCCAAATTTTCTGCTACATTAACAAGCCAGACACTCCAGGTTTTTAGCTAAGTAAATGTGAAGTTAAGGAAAAATTATCAAAGACAATGTAAAGGCTTACAGCTTGACATAAATATGGATGCTAAGAAGCTATATTTAATGAATTACTTGAACAAAATCATACTGTTTATTGCTTTGATTCTTAATTGTTGAAACAAAAACCTGACTCAAACCTGCTGGTATGCAACAAAGTTCAAGACAAACAAACTCCAAAAAACAAGTAATTCAAAAAAATGCACACATTTTACTATGCAGTTTTCCAGATTTCAATACAATCAAAATACCAAATAGGAATGAAAATGCAGAAACAAAAGTCCAGAGTCAATATAGTTTATTTTAATGGCTTTGTTTTTTTAAGCAAAGCCACATAACAAAGTTAAAAAAATAAATAGAATACCATAGTTGAACAAAGAAATTATCTACATTTACCCATTTGGTGCCTAAAAGTTGAAAGAGCAACCTCCACATTGGAGAAGTTGAAAAAGTCAAGATGGGAGCTAAATAAGTCAGAAAATCCAGACTGGGTAACAAATTTGGGTATCTAACTGCTAGGTTATATATTCCTTGAGATATTATATCTCATTCAGACACATAGGCAACATATAAAAGTGGTTAAGAATTTTGGGAGGGTATACCGGAATCATCTTGCAAATATGATACTTAGGCCAGTTACTTAAACCATCTTTGCTTCTGTGTCACCTTATCTAAAATGCAAAGAATGATACACCTACCTCAAAAGATTTACATGAGATGACATATATTTGTAAAACCTGGCACCTAGTTAACTGCTTAGTAGCAGTATTCCCAGTGGGACTGGAATTTACTACTGAGATCAAACATATATGTTATACAGTAAATATCTGTTCAATTAATGAAAAAGAAAATTCCATTAAGAAATCTGGAATGACTGGATGGTCGTACAGATAGACTAGAAAATAAAGATCCAGTTTTCTGGAACATGTTCATTCTGACAAAACAGGAATGACTTTAGAATTTCATTAAAAAATACTAAGTGCTACCACTCTGTTATACTATGGTGCCATAAGAAATGGTGAGTTGTATGACAAGACAGCCTTTAAAAGAGAATTGAAGGAGGTTTCTCTCAGTACCTAACCATAATTTGGAAGGTAGAAGAAGCTGAGAGAATCAATCATATTCTGATGTAGTCACCTATCCTAAAATCGATAGCACCCTAGGAAGAGCAGACCAATCTACATAGGATATTTTGTCTCCCTGACTTCACCAAGATAATGAACGATGAAATATGAACGGTGAAACATTAAGACAGGTATCCTTGAGAGGGAACTGTGGGGTGATGGACCAATCCATTATCTTGTTTTGTGTGGTGTTTACTTAAGTATATACAATGCCAAAACTAGTAAAATTAAGCATGTAAGAATTGTGCATTTCATTCTATGCTAGTTATACCATTAAAAACTGGTTCATTTAAAAAGCGCTCCCTGCTTTTCTCCCTGGAAAATGTAATAATTTACTAATAGTATAATCAAATCTATATTAACTATAAAATTAACTATAGGATGATGTCACCCAACTAAAAATATTTTGGATAAGGTATTCTTTTAACTTTTCAGTGATAGATGATGTAAAAGTAATTCTTTGAGATCACAGACTACTAAAATTCCTTCTGTTCTAATTTTTGCAGAATCTAGGAATGAACATGCACCGTTTAGCCACATTTCTTTCACTTGTTGGTCAAAACTTTATGTCTGAGAGGATTTTCAGTGGAAAATTGCTTGTTTGTATCACTGGTTGTCTTGTGTTACGTTTGGAGGAAAAGGGCTTGGGAGAAAAATACGACAGATATTACAGTGTTCAACTAGAAATCCCAAAACCAGGATTCTAGCTCTAGGATTAAAATGTACAGGGCAACTTTGGACACAGCACTTGAATATTCTGTGCTTGTGATATTCTGCTATCACAGGGCTGTCATAGGATAAAGTGTATTAATTTGTGGAAATACTTTGAAAAGTCAAAGCAATGTATTATTCTAACGTGGCATTGGTGACATGATACCATAGACATAGTCAAGCCCCAAACTTAATCCTGACAGTTATAGGTTCTTGGAAAATCCCCATATACATCTCCCTTGAACTTGAATAGAATGTTCAAGAGGGTGGAAACAGGTAGGTTATCCCCTCTCTCTAAAAAAGGGGGTAAGAGGGTGATATGTTTTCCACTATTGAACTTCCATAATTCTACATTTCTGGAATGTATCTTCCAAAAGATTTGATATAATCTGGTAAATATTGAAAGAGGAGTGGGGAATAAGGCCCAGATTAAGATAGATTCTTCCTGTCCCTAGTGCTGTCAACAATCAATGAGGAGATAAATTGCTCCTGGAGTACAGGAAGCTTGACTTCTAAAATATTGTTAAACAAGCAATCAGCAAACATTTACTGTATTCTTTAACAAATCTTTGGCACACACCCAAGAGCTCCCTCAAACTGCGTGCATCCCAGGAACGAATGAGAGTAAGGCCTAGATGTCTTCAGATCATCCATCACAGCTCTCTCCCGCCTCCATTCCAGGTCCAGCAGAGTGGCCTCGGGCAATCACACCCTTCCCTGACCTCCACCTCCCCCTCCCCAGGGCCGCCAGCCTCACCAGCTGTTCCCGGCTGCTGGAGCTCCGATCGGTTGGCGCCCGGCGGCCCCGAACATTAACGACACCCAGGAGCCTGGCCTCGAGGCTCAGGCCCGTGACCAGACTCCAACTACTACAGCACCGGCGACTTCCAAGAGCAGTTCAGCATTTTGAGATGAACTTCCGGAAGCCGACAGGAGGCGGAAACCGGATGCCCGGAGCAACCATTAGTTCTCCGCGTCTACTGCTTTCCGTTCCTATAATCCCCTCTTCCTACTCGCAATAGAGACAGAGACAAATAAATTAAACTTTTTGTGCTATACAGAGATTTCTTAATTCTCTTTTTAGTACTCTTAAAGTGGAAGTAGCGTGAGAGGAAAGAGCAGTGAACAAAAAGTCGGACCCCGGGAATGAGCTATGGTTTAGCCCAGTTACCATGGAGACCGGTAGTAACACCAGTTGTAAACCCAAGGCCGAAAGACCATGGCCACGTTAGCCCGGCTGCAAGCTAGGTCGTCGACTGTAGGAAATCAGTACTACTTTAGGAACAGGTAAGTCAGGAAGAGAAAGATCGCGTAAAGGGCAGGCGTGACATTATACCAGTTGTTCCTCAGCGGGAGTTTCCAATTAACGATTTCCCTGATTCATTAAGTAGTACCCAATTCTTCCCTTAATGGGCTGTAAACAGAATCTGGAGTTTCTGTTACCATACAACGAAATTCTAAATAGAGAGGGGCCATAGATACTTGATGTGAGATGATTTAGAAAAACTCCCAGCATTGATAAAATTGTAAAGTGCTTTTTCTCTTCGACATCACCACTCTGTAATTTCATGAAACCTTTGTTCTCCGGGTTCAAGGTTCAATACCTGACTGGCGGGTCACCTGGCTCACTAGCCCAATGAGCTCTGACTGTTTCCCATCTACCTAGGGATTTGAGCCTCTATTATTTTACAAACATCACTGAACCCAGTTGTTCTATGACTCATTTGCCTTTCTAAAATGAACGTATCGGCCGGGCGTGGTTGCTCACGCCTGTACTCCTAAAACTTTGAGAGGCCGAGGCGGGCGAATCACCTGAGGCCAGGAGTTCGAGACTAACCAGACCAACATGGTGGAACCCCGTCTCTACTAAAAATATAAAAATTAGCCGGGCACTGTGGCTCATGCCTGTCATCCCAGATAGTTGGGAAGCTGAGGCAGGAGAATCGCTTGAACCTGGGAAGCGGAGGTTGCAGTGACCTGACATTGTACCACTGCACTCCAGCCTGGTTGACAAATTAAGACCCTGTCTCGAAATAAAATAAAATAAAATAAGAAATAAAATGAAAGTGTCTAAACCATTCTGACACAGTAACTAGTACCAAATATTAATTAATAGACAACGGGTAAGAAAACCACTAGCAGTCTTCTTCATTTCCCTACACCCAAACTTCTTGCCTAGGAAGAGTTTCATTTTAAAGAAGCATTGTCCCAGGAGTTTTTGTAACTTAAGAGAAACTACAAAAAAGTGAATTAGACTATTATGGAATACAGTGATATGACAGACCAATGGAAAATGTATCAATGAGATAGGATCTTGCTGAGCTGTTTTTATTCTAACGTTTATCTCACCTACCATATCATTATTTCACCACGTACCTCTCTTACAGCACTGATCACAATTCAATTTTACATTCTTTTATGAGATAATATCTATCTCCCCTCTTAAACTAGTAGTAGAGACAGTGTCTCTTATTTTGCTCACCAGTATTTTTGTCTGCGATGTCTATGATAGCTCCATACAAGTAATAGTAACACAATAATTGTTGAAGACTCACATTAATGAATCGTTCAAAAAATCACTAGCCCTGGTTTAAGTAAACGTACTAACAATAGCTAAACATAGAAAGTATCTATTTATTTAGAGTATGTGGCAGGTGCTGTATTTATGACATATATAAATGAAATAAGCCACATCCATCATGATGTTCACACTCTAGTATGGAATATAGGCTTTTAAAAAATAATTACAATACTAGCTGGGCTTGGTGGTTCATGCCTATGATCCCAGCACTTTGGGAGGCTGAGGCGGATGGATCGCTTGAGGGCAGGAGTTCGAGACCAGTCTGGCCAACATGACAAAACCCTGTCTCTACTAAAAATACAGAAATTAGCCAGGCATGGTGGCGCATGCCTGTAGTCCCAGCTACCCTGGAAGCTGAGTCAAGAGAATCCGTTGAACCCAGGAGGCAGAAGTTGTAGTGAGCCGAGATCGCACCACGCACTCCAGCCTGGGCGACAGAGCAAGACTCTGTCTCAAATAAATAAATAAATAAATAATAACAACAACAATAGAGTAACATGGATAGGAAGGGAAACAACCAGTATTTTTTGAGGACTGCATTTATGAGGGATTGCACTGGGAACTACTTCATATGATCTTTCATTTGGTTATCACAATGTTACAAGTGAATGTATAAATTATCTATTTATTAGATAATCTGTATTTTTGGAGCTATAGAACAGTGTCCTAGAAAAACCTGATGAAGTGCCAAGCAAACACAAATAATTGGCCAGGAATAGAGAGTCAGGCCTGTAATCCCAGCACACTGGGAGGCCAAGGCAGATGGATGGCTTGAGGTCAATTATAAATTATCAGAGCCAACTAATCTAACTCTAAAACCTATGCTGTTCACTATCACTAAACAAAAATTTCTTCCCATTAAGCTGATTTAATTAAATTGCAACAAGCACGAAGATCCAGAGGTCCAAATGGCTTGAGAATACTGTCCCAAATCCATTAACATGTAGGGAACAGAGTTGTGGGAAACAATTTAAAGTCTCCTTGGTTTCTTTCGCTGTCTTCTGTTTTGGTAACAAGGTAGGGACAAAAATGCTTCTTCCTAATGGCTAGCGTCAGAATAAGGCTTAAATTGAAAGATGACTTTGTTGAGAAAATATATTTCTAAGTGGTTAGATTAGCATCTGAGTCCTGCAAGGCCTGGAAGTCCAATGTGGAAAAGAGAAGCTCCTCTGCCTAACAAAGAGAAAGGATCTGGAACTCCAAGAAGTGAGCAGCAAATACAGGAGGAGATTTTGAACTACAAAGAGTAGGAGGAGCGTGGGTTGCCCAACTGACGTAATACTCTGGAAAGTTGCTCCCACAGGGAATGTTTGGTGTGTGTTTATGTTTTGATCTGGTCCATCAAAGAGGCTGAATATTTTGTCCCGGATATAAGGTGAGCAAAAGATAGTAGGCCATTGTTGTAACTGCCCAATGGGTTCACCTTGCCCGTTGCCTAGACAGAGCCAATTTATCAAGACAGGAATTGCAATAGAGAAAGAATAATTCACACAGAGCCAGTTGTACGGGAGACAAGAGTTTTATTGTTACTCAAATCTGTCTCCCTGAGCATTAGGGGATCAGTTTTTAAGGATGATTTGGTGGGTTAGGGTGAGGCCAGTGAGTTAGGAGTGCTGATTGGTTGGGTTGGAGATGAAATCATAGAGGGTGGAACCTGTCTTCTTGCACTGAGTCAGTTCCGGGGTGGGGGCCACAAGGTCAAAGCCAGTTTATCAATGAGCCAGTTTATCAGTCTGGGTGGTTCCAGCTGATCCAACAAATGCAGCATCTGCCAAATATCTATAGCACTGATCTTATATTTTCCAATACTGATGTTATCCCAAGGAGCAATTTAGGGAGGGTCAGAATCTTGTAACCTCCAGCTGCGTGACTCCCAAACCATAATTTCTAATCTTTTAATTAATTTGTTATTCCTACAACGGCAGTCTAGTCCCCAGGCAAGAAGGGGGTTTACCTTGGGAAAGGCCTGTTATCATCTTTGTTTTAAACTATAAACTAAGTTCCTCGCACAGCTAGTTCAGCCTATGTCCAGGAATGAACGAGGAGAGCTTGGAGGTTGGAAGCAAGATGGAGTTGGTTAGGTAAGCTCTCTTTCACTGTCTTGTTACAGTTTTGCAGTGGCAGTTCCGTTGTCACTTGACAGAGTATTGGCCTTTTTGTTGTTGTTGTTGTTGTTGTTTTAACTTTCTCTGGTAATTCTTAGCTTCATTTCTGTTCTTCCGAACTATGAGATTTTCTTTGTGACTTATTGGTCATTTATACTACACACTATACTGCACTGTATGGAGAGAAGAGTTCAGTATATGTTTATTGATCATATTGTTCATTTTCCCCATATTCTTTTTTAAATTTCATCTAATCTGTCAAATTCTAATAGGAATAAGGTAATGTTCCTCTTCCACTGTGTTTCTATAGTGTGGGTGGACCCAAAGTATCTGAGACAGGCTTCAGTCAATTTAGAAAGTTTATTTTGCCAAGGTTAAGGATGCACCCATGACACAGCCTCAGGAAGTCCTGATGTCATGTACCTAAGACAGTCCGGGTACAGCTTGCTTTTATGCATTTTATGGAGACATAATACATCAATCAATACATGTGAAGTTTATATTGGTTCCACAATGCGGGGGCCTTTTAGGTCTTAGGTAGGTTTAAAAATTTTCTGGCCAGGCGTGGTGGCTCACGCCTGTAATCCCAGCACTTTGGGAGGCTGAGGTGGGTGGATCACTTGAGGTCAGGAGTTCCAAATCAGCCTAGCCAACATGGCAAAACCCTGTCTCTACTAAAAATACAAAAATTAGCCGGGGCTGGTGGTGCGCCCCTGTAATCCCAGCTACTCGGGAGGCTGAGGCAGGAGAATCACTTGAACCCAGGAGGCAGAGATTGCAGTGAGCCAAGGTCACACCATTGCACTCCAGCTTGGGCAATAGAGCAAGACTGAAATTCTGATTGGCATGTAATTGAGTGAGTTATTATCAGTAGAAAGAAATGAGGAATGTCTGCGTTATGATAAGGGATTGGGGAGACCTAGGTTTTATCGTTTTATCATGCAGATGAAGTCTCCAAGTTGCAAGCTTTAAAAAGAATAGACTGAGGCCAGGTGCAGTGGCTCAGGCTTGTAATCCCAGCACTTTGGGAGGTCAAGGCGGACAGATTACGAGGTCAGGAATTCGAGACCAGCCTGGCCAACATGGTGAAACTCCATCTCTACTAAAAATACAAAAAATAGCTGCATGTGGTGGCAGGTGCTTGTAATCCCAGCTAATCGGGAGGCTGAGGCAGGAGAATCACTTGAACCCTAGAGGTGGAGATTGCAGTAAGCCGAGACCGTGCCACTGCACTCCAGCCTGGCAACAGAACGAGACTATGTCTCAAAAAAAAAAGGGTGTTTTCAGCAGAGGAGTGACATGATGTGACTTCTGTCTATAAAAACAATAAATAAGAAAGTAACCTTTGACTTATTATTATTATCATCATTTTTAGACAGAGTCTCACTCTGTTGCCCAGGCTGGAGTGCAGTTGCGTGATCTCAGCTCACTGCACCTCTGCCTCCCAGGTTCAAGAGATTCTCCTGCTTCAGATTCCTGAGTAGGGGGGATTACAGGCACCTGCCACCACACCCAGCTAATTTTTTTTTTTCTTTTTAGCATTTTTAGTGAAGACGGGTTTTCACCATGTTGGCTAGGCTGGTCTTGAACTCCTGGGCTCA